GAATTGCTTGAACCCAGGAGGCAGAGTTGCAGTGAGCCGAGATACTGTTTTGAGTGTGGGGCCAGCATGATGGGACTAGTGTCCTCGTAAGAAGGGAAAGAGGTTAGAGAAGACAAAGACCGTCTACAGATCTGGAAGAAGGCCCTCACCAGACACGGAATGCACTGGCACCCTGATCTTGGAATTCCCAGGCTTCGGCACGGTGAAGAATAAATTTCTGTGTGTAAGCCATCCAGTCTATGTTATTTTTATTATAGCATCCAAACTCCCTGAGACAGGGAATGACTGCTGAATGGGCGCAAGGTCTACCTTGGGGGTGATTAGAATGTTTTTATACTAGATAAAAGTGATGGTTGTACCACATTGTGAATGTACTTAATTGCACGCTTTAAGATGGTTAATTTTATGTTATCCAAATTTCACTTCAATAAGAAAAAGAAGGCTGGGCACGGTGGCTCACAACCTGTAATCCCAGCACTTTGAGAGGCTGAGGCGGGCGGATCACAAGGTCAGTAGTTCGAGACCAGCTTGACCAAAATGGTGAAACCCTATCTCTACTAAAAATACAAAAATTAGCTGGGTATGGTGGCATGTGCCTGTAATCCCAGCTATTTGGGAGGCTGAGGCAGGAGAATCACTTGAACTTGGGAGGCAGAGGTTGCAGTGAGCTCAGATTGTGCCACTGCACTCCAGCCTCGTGATAGAGCTGGAAAAAAAAAAAAGAAGGCGGCTGCATGCTGTGGCTCATGCCTATAATCGCATCCCTTTGGGAGACCAAGATGGGTGAATAGCTTCAGGCCAGGAGTTCAAGACTAGCTTGGGCAACATAGCGAAACCCCATCTCTACAAAAAATACAAAAATTAGTCAGGTGTGGTGGCAACATTTGTAGTCCCAGCTACTAGGGAGGCTGAGATAGGAGGCTTGCTTAAGCCTGGGAGATCAAGGGTGCAGTGTGCCAAGGTCACACCACTGTACTCCAGCATGGGTGACAGAGTGAGACCTTATCTCAAAAAATAAAATAAAGGAAAAAGAAAAGAAGCAGGCACAGTGGCTCATGCCTGTAATTCCAGCAGCTCAGTAGACTGAGGTGGGAGAGTTGGTTGAGCCCAGAAGTTAAAGACCAGACTGGGCAACATAGCAAGACCCCATCTCTATAAAAAAATTTACAAGGTAGCCATGCCTGGTGGCATGCACCTGCAGTCATAGCTACTTGGACAAAATGTGGTATGTCTATACAATGGAAGATTTTTCTGGCAATAAAAAGGACTTACATACTGATACAGACTACAACATGTATGAAACCAGAAAACATTTTGCTAATTGAAAGAAGCCAGACACAAAAGGCCACATGTTGTATGATTTAATTCATGTGAAAGAGTTGCCTAGGGCTGGGGGGTGGGGAGATGGGAGTGATGACTGAGGGGCATAGGGTTTCTTTCTTTCTTTTTTTTTTTTTTGAGACGGAGCCTTGCTCTGTTGCTGGGCTGGAGTACAGTGGCGTGACCTCAGCTCACTGCAACCTCCGCCTCCTGGGTTCAAGTGATTCTCCTGCCTCAGCCTCCCAAGTAGTTGAGATTATAGGCATGTGCCACCCTGTCTGGCTAATTTTTCTATTTTTAGTAGAGACATGGTTTCACCATGTTGGCCAGGATGATCTCAATCTCTTGATCTCGTGATCCACTCACTTTGGCCTCCCAAAGTGCTAGGATTACAGCTGTGAACCACTGTGCTTGGCCAGGGTTTCTTTTTGAGATTATAATGTTCTAATATTATATTATGGTGTTGATTGCACAACTCTGTGGATATGCCAAAACCATTGAAATGTACACATTAATGAGTGAATGTAGATGATATATGAATTATAGCTCAATAAAGCTGTTATAGAAAAATTATAACAAAAAGATTAAAATCCATTATGGCAGGCTGGGCAAGGTGGAACATGCCTGTAATCCCAGCACTTTGGGAGGCCAAGGCGGGTGCATCACTTGAGGTCAGGAATTTGAGAAGAGCCTGGACAACATGGTGAAAATCTGTCTCTACTAAAAATACAAAAAATTAGCCAGGTGTGGTGGGCGTGCCTGCAACCCCAGCTACTCAGGAGGCTGAGGCAGGAGAATTGCTTGAATCGGGAGGCGGAGATTACAGTGAGCTGAGATCATGCTATTGCACTCCAGCCTGGGCGACAGAGCAAGATTCTGTTCCCCAAAAAAAAAAAAAAAACCATAATGGCAACTGCAACAGTTATATATTGTTGAGCAACAAAGTACCTCGAAATTTAGCAGCTAACAATAGCAAAGATTATATCACACAGTTGCTGAGGGGCAGCAATCCTGGAGTGGCTTTGCTGGGCAATTCTGGCTCAGTTTCTCATAAGGTTGAGATCATGCTGCCAGCTGATGCTGCCATCTCTGGAGATTCAGCTGGGGCTGGAGGATCTCTTGCTAAACTCATGAGGCTATTGGCAGGAGGCTTTAGTTCTTTGCCACATGGGTCTGTCCTTGGGACTGTCCGTGGGACTGTCCATGACATAACTTCCCCTAGAATGAATGGTGAGGGAGAGGAAGAGTAAGAGAGCCCAAGGGAGAAGTCACGTCTTTTCGAGCTTAATCTTAGGAGGAACACACCTCCGCTTCTGCAGTATTCTCTTGGTCACACAGACCATTCCTGGGACTATACACAGGAGGTGAGTGCCAGGAGGTGGGAATCATTGGAAGTCATCTTGGACTTGGACTTCACATGTATCATAGCAACCAATACCCAAACTGTGGCACGAACTGCTTAGTGTCCCCTAATATCTATTCTTCCCCTTTTCTACAGTAACAAGCCACTGCTTCTGCTTTTTAGCTGGGCTCATGGCTGCCCGTTTCATTTCCTAGACCACCTTTGCAACCAGATTTTTGCCATTTGATTAAGGTGTGGCCAGAGGGAAGTATGAGTAAGTAGCACATGTAACATTCTGGAGTGTGTTTACTGAAGAGAGGGGCTGGACCCTTCTAACTCCTCCCATCCTGCTGCAGGTAATATGGATGTGTTGGCTGAAGCGCCATCTTGGACCGTGAGAGCCAGGGCTACACTAGGGATGGGAGAGCAGAAAGCTAGAAGCAGCCTGGGTTCCAGAAAAGTGCAGATTTACTATAGAGGTATGAGTCTCACCTCTGGATTTTTAAGAGATAGTCTATTTTGTTTAAGGATCTGAATAATATAGGTATATAGAAAGTATAATAAATATATGGAGAGAATGGCGGTGCTCTGTTGAATGACATACAGGAAGACCTCAGTAAATAGAGAACTATAGCATGTCCATATTTGGGAAGGCTGAGTATCCTAAGAAAGGCAGTTATCTCCAAATCTATACATTCGATGGATTTTTCAATCAAATTCCTGGCCATCTTTCTTGTAGACTTTACTAAGCTGATGCTACAAATTCAAAAAAATTGCAAAATTCTTTGTGAGAGTAAAGGTCCAAGAATAAATAAGACAAATTTGCAGAATGATACGAAGTGGAGGGGGGCTTAAAACATAAACTTAGTATCTAAAAATTAAAATAGAATGATGGGGTGCAAAGTGGTTTCAGCTGCACCTGAACCTGTACTTGAACTGCCACATTTAATAGAAAAGAAAAAACATTTATAGCAAATTTGGCAAATGTTAACATTGATTATGTTTGTGTATTTGGTACATGGCTGTTTGTTTCTCTGACTTTTCAACAGTTTTGAAATATTTCACAATACAAAATAATTAAAAATAAATACCTGGTAGGAGAAGATTGAAGGAAGGAAAGAATGAAAGAGAAAGAGAGAGAGAAAGAGAAAGGAAGGAAGGAAAAAAGGAAGGAAGGAAGGAAGGAGAGAGAGAAAGAAAGAACTGCCATCTGCCTTACCCTAAGGATTAATTATTCTTAGCACATTTCCCCAGTCTTATGCTAGGTCTTGCATCTCCTAAAAAGAGGCAGATATGTGGTGAAGGAGCATAGGCGTTGGAGACGAACAGGAAATCTGACTTTATATCCTATTTCCCCGACTTCCTGTATGATTGTAGGCAAGTCATGCAACCTCTCAGCCCCATTTTCTTATCTGGATAATGGGATAAAATATCCACTGCAGATGACTGTCCTGAGGTCATCTCAGGTCAAGATTATCTTTACCTGTGAGCACTGCCATTGATACAACTGGTAAAGCTTCTTTCTACACATTTGAAAGTTCATAAAAACCAGAAATTCAAAGCTGTTGAGATCACTTCTACTTAGTTCTATGAAACAAAGGCCTAAGATAACACATCAGGGTGATTTCTTTGCCCTTTGCTCAATAACGCTCTATATTTCTGGAATCTTGCTTGAATTTCCTGCAAGTGAAATGCTTTTGAGGCACTGCTACAATTCCAGTTCCTTAAGTGTGTGATCCAGTTGTGTTCTGCTTGTTCTTTATCCGGTGTGTGGTCTTGCAGTGGTTCAGGAATGTGGAACCTTGAGTTTTAGTTGGGTTTTGCCATGGCCCTTATCTTCAAGATCATGCACTTAAGAAACACTAGAACCTTCAGTAAATAAATGCTTATTGGGTGCAATGGCTCATGCCTGTAATACCAGCACTTTGGGAGGCCGAGGCGGGTGTATCACTTGAGGGCTGGAGTTCAAGACCAGCCTGGCCAACATGGTGAAACACTGTCTCTACTAAAAATACAAAAATTGGCTGGGCATGGTGGTGCATACCTGTAATCCCAGCTATTTGGGAGGCTGAGGCAGGAGAATTGCTTGAACCTGGGAGGCGGAGGTTGCAGTGAGCCAAGATCACAGCACTGCACTCCAGGTCAAAGTGGTCTGAAAGTCATGATTCTTCTGTGACATCGTCATCATCATCACCATCACCTGATTTGAATGTGAGGCACAATGCCTTTTAAAGAAAAAGCGAAATATGCTTTTAGAAAATTTTCATTTGATGAATGTTCCCAAATGCTCAACTTCTAAATATTTCTTCTTGCTTCTTTCCTTTCTTCTTCCTGCAAGGAAAGGCACCGATGCCTAGACCCGGCTACAAGCCCCAAGAGCCCAACGGCTGCAGTTCCTATTTCCTGGGTCTCAAGGTACCAGAAAGTGTATGTACTGCCAGCATTACCTTCTTGGTTCATTGGTTTTGACTGAGAGAAATCCTAGAGTTATCTCTGATGGAAGTGATTGTTTCTGGAAACAAGTTGAACTTACAATTAAGTATTTGAAATTGCATATGAGGGAAAGGAGAGAATTTTCAAAGAATATATCTGATTTCCTTTTCTCAGGGACAGCTGTCCCTTAGATAAGCCCTTGATAGTAGATGAGAACTTTGAAATCACCACTGAAAATGTCAGTTGAGACTTAGGGCATTATGACACAACTTAATTTGAGTTAGATATGACAGGTTTGACTTATTTAAATTAGTGGACCATTCCAGTGATGTGCTGGAGCCAGCTGGTGTGACCAGTGAGAGCTGATTGCTACATATTGTCATGACTTTTGCAAGCAGCTGACTTCATGTTAGTAGTGCCAAACTGGCTATGTTTGGGGTGCTGACATCATGGAAATCTGCAAACACACACACACACACACACACTCACACACCTGGCTAATTTTTGTATTTTTAGTAGAGACAGGGTTTCACCATATTGGCTAGGCTGGTCTCGAACTCCTGACCTTGAGTGATCTGCCCACCTCGGCTTCCCAAAATGCTGGGATTACAGGCATGAGCTACTGCACCCAGCCACATGTGGCATTTTATGTACCTAGTTACACAGTTTATGCTGCTACATTTACATTTGTTTATAGGATGCTCTCATATGTGTGCGAGAGATGTGGTTTGACTACAGTCCCCTTGTGGTCAGGAGCTGTGTGTTCTATACCCACTCTACTTTCCGACTCATCCCAAGACACACACACACACACGCTTAAAATAGTGCTGTCTGGGATGCTGGTGATCTCTTGAACTGAGGCTGAACTGTTTATACTTCTTAGCCATAGAATCCTTTGCTCACGCAAAATCTCATATGGAACTGTTAAGCGTTAATTAAATTTAGAAGGCCTGTGGCTCTGCTCTCTTGATTACCCTTCTGGTCTCTATTTTCATTACTGAAAGCTGACTCTGAACTTTAAAACTACTAACATCTAAAAAAAAAAAAAGAAATGAAAAATGGGCCAGAATCACTTATTGAAATAATAACCAAGTAACAATAAAAACTTGGCATCCTGTGACTGTTGGTATTCTACTGAGATACTGGTGTTTCTGAATTAGTTGGGATATGCACTAGAAATGTGAGAACTGGCTACTTAACAACAAGGTGGGCAAGGTTGCCTAAGGTCCTTAGTCTGAACGTGGCATTTCCTCCCCTTATTTTTCCTTCCTTCACTTTTCCCCAGATGGACTTGGGCATTCCAGCAATGACCAAGTGCTGCAACCAGCTGGATGTCTGTTATGACACTTGCGGTGCCAACAAATATCGCTGTGATGCAAAATTCCGATGGTGTCTCCACTCCATCTGCTCTGACCTTAAGCGGAGTCTGGGCTTTGTCTCCAACGTGGAAGGTAGGTATCTCAATGGCACGTACAGTGCGTAGGGAATTTGCTCCTGTTTTCACACTGAGTTATAGCCAGAACCCTTGACTCAAAGAGATCATCAGAGCTCACTAAACGTTCTTTATGGAACACTGTGGCTGAGCAAGAAATGGTGAAAGGAAGATTCTGGGCACTCCTTCACTAAAGTTCTTGCTCTCCTGCCCACGAGCTGCTGGCAACACTCCTGAAGGTAAACGACTACACCAAAGCCTTCCCAGAAAAATAAAAATCTATCATTTAAGGCTGGAGAAAGAATTTCCCAGCTGGCTTGGATTATCCATTCCACTGTTAAATAATTTTCCATGTCAAGAATTATTCCTTATAGGCCCACTTGGTTTGGTTTAGGCCTCTGTTTTTTGTTTTCAGTCGGAGTAGGAATTCAAAAAATCTTTTCTGTGTAAAGGTCTCTATGTACTTGAAGATAATAACTTTATTTACTATTTTTTATTTTTTTATTTTTTTGAGACAGAATCTCACTCCGTCACCCAGGCTAGAGTGAAATGGTGTGATCTTGGCTCACTACAACCTCCGCTTCCTGGGTTCAAGCGATTCTTGTGCCTCAGCCTCCCATGCAGCTGGGATTACAGGCGTGTGCCACCATGCCCAGCTGATTTTTGTATTTTTAGTACAGATGGGGTCTTGCCATGTTGCCCAGGCTGGTCTCGAACTCCTGAACTCAAGCAACCCACCCACCTCAGCCTCCCTAAGTGCTGGGATTACAGGCATGAGCCACTGAGCCCAGCAAGGATGGTTATTTTAAACAACTGCTTTGCTACCTAGTTTCTAGCACTGATTCTATAATTGCTTTGTCCTAATTTACTTAGGAAAAGTTTTTACTGTCTCTGTGTCTGAAGCCAGGATATTGTATCCAGGTATGAATTAGCATTTTCTATTTTTAGCTGGTAAGAGTTGAAATGCAGGCTGATAAAGAGCTGGCTCCACACCACAGAGAGTGTCTGCAGTAGAAGAGAATCTTGGCTCTTTTCATAGATCAATGTCTAGAGTGCAGTCTGGAGGTGAAGGTGTGAGGGCTTGGAAATGTGAATAATTCAGTGTGCCCTTTGAAAGGGAGTATCATTCTATTCTATTTCTACAGAGGGTGAAAAAGTACCTGCTGCTAATCTAGGGTCAGGTCAAGTTACTTCCTGCAAGCAATGTCCTATTGATTCTTTCTCCCAAATATTTCTTTCATATCCCACTTGCCTGGTTACTTCAAATTAACCCAGTCTCTGTGTCCCATCTAATTGATTGTCACCATTGGGACCAGATACGCCACACGAACCTGATCATCTCGACCCCCTATGTAAATCATTCAATAGATTCCTCCTCCTTACAGGTTAAATCCAAACTCTTCAGTATGCTGTACATGGCCCTTTCTGATTCAGCCCTAGCCTACCACTCCACCATCATCTTGGCCATTCCTGATCTCTCTCCTGACTCCTGCCTCAGTGGGCTCAGAACTGTCCCTTCGTAGATTCTAAAAAAGAGTGTTTCCAACCTAGTGAATCAAAACACAGGTTCCATTCTGTGAGATGAATCCACACATGACAAAGAACTTTCACAGATAGCTTGTTTCTAATTTTTTCACAGGATATTCGATTTTTCCTTACAGGCTTCAGTGGTCTCAGAAATATCCCTTTGTAGATTCTACAGAAAGTGTGGTTCCAACCTGGTGAATCAAAACACAGCTTCCTTTCTGTGAAATGAATCCACCCATCGCAAAGCATTTTCACAGATAGTTTACTTCTGGTTTTTATCATGGCATATTAGATTTTTTTTTCTTATGGGCCTTAATGGGCTCAGAAATGTCGCTTTGTAGATTCTACAAAAAGAGTGTTTCCAACCTGGTGAATCAAACTACTTGGGTTGATGGTCCATTCCTTTCTGCTCCTGTGTGAAACACCCTAATCATTCATTTTTTATTGTTGAAACAGATTTATTAAGCTACAATTCACACATAATACAATTCACCCATGTAAATGCTTTTAAATATGTTAACAAAGTTATGCAGTCAATCTCACAATCAATTTTAGAACATATTCATCACCCTGAGAAGGAACCCCAGGGCCATCAATAGCCTCTCCCCGAACTGCGCCTGCCCAGCTCGAGGAAATCACAAATCTACTTTCTACCTCTAGAACCACCTATTCTGGACCTTTCATATAAACGAATCATACAATACATGATCTTCTGTGACTAACTTATTTCACTAGGCAAGGTTTATCCATGTTGTAGAAGGTATCAGTATTTCATTCCTTTTTATTGCTGAATAATATTCTATTGTATGGCTCTAACATAGTTTCTTTATCCATTCACCAACTGATGGACATCTGGGTTGTTTCTACATTTTGGCTATCATGAATATTACTGCTATGAACATTTATGCACAAATGTTGGTGGAAACATATGTTTTCACTTCTTTTGGGTATGTATCGAGGAGAGGAATCGTTGGGCTAAATGGTAACTCTATGTTTAAACTTTTGAAGAGCTGCTAAACTGTTTTCCAAAGGGGCTGCACCATTTTGCATTCCCACCAACAAATTGTGAAGGCTCAGGTTTTTCCACATCGTCACCAACATTTGTCATTATCTGTCTTTAATTATAGACCCTACTGCATGTGAAGTTGTGTCTCACTGTGGTTTTGATTTGCATTTCCCTGACAGTTATTGATGCTGAGCATCTCTTTATGTGCTTATTGGCCATTGCATATATACTTGGATGTCCATTAGGATCCTTTGTCCCTTGTAAAATTGTATTTGTCTTTTTATTATTGAGTTGCAAGAGTTCTTTATATGTTCAAGTTATTTATGAGCTACATGATTAGCAAACATTGTCTCCCCCTTTTTTGTTTCTTTTCCCCCTGCCTTCTTCATGGTATTATTGTAGCATAGAAGTTTCAAATTTTAAATCCAAGTTATCTATTTTTTAATTTATTCTTTTGTCACTTGTACTTTTGGTGTCATATGTAGTAATGCTTTGCCTAACCCAAGATCACAAAGATTTACTCATGTTTTCTTCTAAGAGTGTGATTGTTGTGGTGCTTACATTTAGGTCTGTGATTTGTTTTGAATTAATATTTGTGTATGGTGTAAGAAAAAGGTCCAACTTCATTCTTTTCTATGTGGATATTCAGTTGTTCTGGCACCATTTGTTGAAAAGACTATTCTTTCCTACATTATATTGTCTTTGCACCCTTGTCAAAAATAAATTGACCATAAAGATAAGGATTTATTCCTAGATGCTCAATTCTATTCCACTGATCTATGTCAGAACCACGTTGTCTGTTATTGTTGTTATGCAGTAAATTTTGAAATCAAGATGTGTTCCTAAACTTTGTTCTTTTTTGTCAAGACTATTTTGAATATTCTGAATCCCTCACATTTCCATATGAATTTTGGGAACAGATTGTCAATTTCTCCAAGAAATGGCAGCTAGAAATTTGACAGGGTTATCGTTGAATCTATAGATCAATTTGAGAGTATTACTATCTTAACACAATTGTATTTATATCAAATATATTTATTATATTTATATCAATTATATAAATTCCATTTATTTAGGTCTTCTTTAATTTATTTCAACAAGGTGTGTATTGTTTTCACAGTACAAGACTTGGACTTCTGTTAAATTTATTCCTAAGTATTTTATTCTTTTTAATGCTAATGAAATATAATTGTATTTAAATTTTATTTTCAGATCATTTACTAATAATGTATAGAAATACATTTGATTTTTTTACATGGATCTTATATCCTACAACCTTGCTGAATTAACTCATTAGTTCTAATAGATTTTTCATGGGTTCCACAGGCTTTTCTATATATAAGATAATGCCATCTATCTGCATATCGTCTTCCTTTCCAATTTGGATTTTTAATTTTTTTTTTCTCTTGCCTAATTGCCCTAGCTAGAGCTTCCAATACAACATTGAATAGAAGTGTTGTGAGTGGATACTTCTGTCTTGTTCCTGATCTTAGAGTAAAAGCATTTCGTCTTTCACCATTGAGCACGACTATTAGCTATGGCTGTCTCTAGATGGCCTTTATCAGGTTCTGGGAGCTATCCGCTTTTCCCAGTTTATTGAGTATTTTTTCTTTCTTTCTTTCTTTTTTTTTCTGAGACAGAGTTTTGCTTTGTCTCCCAGGCTGGAGTGCAGTAGTATGATCTTGGCTCACTGCAACCTCTGCCTCCTGGGTTTAAGCAATTCCTGCTTCAGCCTCCCGAGTAGTTGGATTACAGAAGCCTGCTACCAAACCTGGCTAATTTATGTATTTTTAGTAGAGACAGGGTTTCACCATTTTGGCCAGGCTGGTCTTGAAATCCTGACCTCAGGTGATCCACCAGCCTCGGCTTCCCAAAGTGCTGGGATTACAGGCATGAGCCGCCATACCTAGCCAAGTGTTTTTATCATGAAAAAGTGTTGAATGTTTTCAAATGTTTTTTTTTTCTGCATCTATTGAGATGATCGTATGGTATGTGTTCTATATTCTGTTGATAGTGTATTACATTAATTGATTTTAGTATGGTTTAGCATTCTTAGACTAAATCCCACTTAGTCATGATGTAAACCTTTTTATATGTTGCTGGATTCAGTTTACTAGTATTTCGTTGAGGATTTTGCATCTATAGTTATAAGAGATACTAGTCTATAGTTTGTTATTTTTACAATGTCTTTGGTTTTGGTATGAGAGTAATACTGACCTCATAAAATGAGTTGGGCAATGATCCCTTCTCTCCTAATTTTTAAAAAAAGTTTAGAAAGGATTTATATTAATTCTTTAAATGTTTTGTAAAATTCCCCAGTAAAGCCAAATAGAATTGGATTTCTTTGGGGAAGTTTTTAATTACTAAATCACAAGCTTGGATTAGTAATTGTATTTATATACACTAGCAACCTATTCATATTTTCTATTCTTCTTGAGTCAGTTTCAGCAGTTCATGTCTTTCTGCGAATTTGTGCATTCCATCCAAGTTATCAACACTTTTTGTCATGAAGTTATTCATAGTATTTCCTTATAATCCTTTTTAGTATTTCCTTATAATCCTTTTTATTTCTGTAAGATCATTAGTGACATTTCTCTCTCCTTCCTGAATTCGGTAATTTGAGTCCTCTCTTTTTTCTTGGTAAGTCTAGCTGAAAGTTTGTCAACATCTTTGATCTTTTCAATGAACCAACTTTGCAAATTGATGTATTTCATTTTGCTTCCTGTTCTGAAGACTAAAGGTTATAATAGTTGCAAAGACCATAAAACTGCTCTAGGGCCAAGGTAGTTAATCAGAATTAACATCACAACTGGGTTGAATGGTAGAGATTAATGTTCCTTAATAGTCTCAAAGGATGCAAGTATTCAATGTTTTTAAAAAAATTAAAAAATTGATATATCATTTACATACCATAAAATTTACCCTTTAAAAGTATACACTTCAGTGGTTTTTGTATATTCACAGAGTTGTGCAACCATCACCACAATCTAATTCCAGAACATTTTCATTAGTCCCAAAAGAAACCCTGTAGCCATTAGCAGTCACTACTCATTACCTCCCCTACCCCACCCTAGCCCTAAACAACCACTATTTTCCTCTCTATATGGATTGCCTATTCTGGAAATATGTAAATGGAATCATACACTATGTGGCCTTTTGTGTCTGGTTTCTTTTGCTTAGCATAGTGTTTTCAAAATTCATCCATGTCTTAGCATGCATCAGTACTTAATTTTCCTGACCATTCTTAAAGTTTAAACTTATATATCTTACTTCCTCTAAGATACCTCCCCTAATAACCCTTGCTGCAAAGAGATAGAGACCCTTTCTGTGGGCTCCCATACCTAACCTTGGACTTACTTTCATCATGAGGTAGTGTAGCTATCTGTTTACCTGTCCACCTCTTTATCCGAACTGTGGAGTCCTTGAATTGAGGATGATGTCTTTTGTCTCCATATCATTGGCTCCTAAGACAGTGGCTAACCAACGTATCCAAAACATGCAAATGTTTTTCCATCAATGAACGGTTGTTCATCCAATACTTGAACAGGGAAAGCTATAAGCAAGATTGGGCGTGTTCCAGGTGGTATGGCCACAGACAGGAAAGCTATGGAAAACATAGATATGTCATGTGAGGGAGTCTTCTGCAAAAAATATTCTCCATGGAGTAAGCATGGGGTGTAGGAGTGCTGATTGCTCACCACTGTTTTGAGCAGGGGCCCACAAGCAAGGGCACCTCCAGGTGTCTTCTGCTGTATTGGATTGAATGGGAGCTTTTCTGAAAACGTTCTCTGAAATGTATGCTCTTCCTTTGATTTCTATATTTGGATTACTGTCTCTGCTTTCCTCTAGGTATCATGACATCCCTGGAAATACAGTGACTCTTGAAAATTACTCAATATTAACCTTTCTGTCCCTCTTCTATCTTTTTCAAGTAGCCTGTGATTCCCTGGTTGACACTGTGTTCAACACCGTGTGGACCTTGGGCTGCCGCCCCTTTATGAATAGTCAGCGGGCAGCTTGCATCTGTGCAGAGGAGGAGAAGGAAGAGTTATGAGGAAGAGATGATTCCTTCCTGGTTTTGAGTGACACCACAACTGCCAGCCTTTGACATCAAAGATGTCAGTCTTTGAGTCACCGTGAGAGATGACTCATTCTTTCTTCCAATAGTTTGGACACCACAAAGCGGGAGAAAGGAAACATTTTTCTACAGCTGGAAAGTGAGTCTTTTCCTTTGAGGAAAATTGAAAAAAAGACATGGAGTAGTTTGAAGGCTACGCTTCATTTAAGACTGCTCTCCCCAACCAACCAAGACACGTTTGCCTGGAAATTTAGTTCTTAAAGACTAAAATGCAAGCAAACCCTGCAATTCCTGGACTTGATAATTATATTCATGAGTGAAACTGTGGGGAGTCCAACCATTTGGGAGGCAATGACTTTTCTCTGGCCCATGTTTCAGTTGCCAGTAAACATCTCACATTTAATAAAGTGTACTTTTTAGAAAATTTGGAAAGAGATGAATGAATTCCATTATCACCAGTATGATTCCATTTCACTTAGAAGAGATCAAAACCCAACTTGGTAAGTTCCACCGATGACAACCGTTATTCCCACTGATGCTGAAGAGAGAAAAACAGGTGGGCAGGCTCAGAGGCTTACCTGATTAAGGCCAGCGGAGGAGAAGGTCAGATGGAATTAGGTCTCTGAGGGTTTATTTTTCCCTCCAGTGACTTTCCCCTGTTGATATTCCTAGTTATAAACGGTGTTAGAATCATGTTAAGATCTGAGATGCACTTGGTAAGAGTTACTAGTGGAGCTAGCTAGGAAAAGTCTCTGCAGCCTGTCAGGAGTGACAGACAAGTAGCCACTCCCCTAACTTGAGGGTCTCAACCCTAACCATGGATTAGAATCACCTGAGGATCCTTTAGAACAAACCAATAAAGAATATCCAATGGTAGTTTAGAAATGGTTTCCAGGTGATTCTGCTGCACAGAAGGGCTGCCGGCCACTAATTTAGAGCGGGAATTGGCCCACTAAGTCCCATGGCCAAACCTAGCCCAAACCCTGTGTTTTTTGTTTTTGCTTTTGTTTGTTTGTTTTCTTGAGAGGGAGTCTCACTCTTGCCCAGGCTAGGGTACAGTGGCAAGATCTCAGCTCACTGCAACCTCCGCCTCCTGGGTTCAAGCAATTCTTCTACCTTAGCCTCCTGAGTAGCTGGGATTACAGGTGCCCACCACCAAGCCCAGCTGATTTTTGTATTTTAGTAGAGACGGGGGTTTCACCGCATTGGCCAGGCTGGTCTCGAACTCCTGACCTCAAATAATCCGACTGCCTCTGCCTCCCAAAGTGCTGGGATTACAGGCGTGAGCCACCACACCTGGCTCAAAGTCTGGTTTTGAATCCTTTTTTTGAATAACCGTGCTCACATTTGTTTACATATTCTCTGTGGTTGTCCTTGCACTACGACAGTAGAGTTCAGTGGCTGTGACAAAGACTGCAGGGCCCGGAAAGCCTAATATAGTTACCAGTTGGCTTTTTACAGAAAAAAGTTGCTGACTTCTGATCTAAATCCTTTTCTCCTTTCCCTTACTTTTATTAATTTTATTGATTCTACTAAGAACTATTAATTGTAGCAACTTTTTTGGGTTTGGGGATTTGGGGATTTTTTTTTTGAGACAAGTTCTCACTCTGTCACCCAGGCTGGAGTGCAGTGGTACTATCATGGCTCACTGCAGCCTCAATCTCCTGAGCTCAGGCAATCCTCCCACCTCAGCTCCCCTAAGTAGCTGGAACCACAGCTGCACACCACCAGGCCCAGCTAATTTAAAACAATTTTTTGTAGAGACGAGGTCTCACCGCGTTGCCTAGGCTAGTCTTGAGCTCCTGGGCTCAAGGGATTCTCCCACCTTGGCCTCTGAAGTGCTGGAATTTCAGGCATGAGCCACTGTACCCATACTGTAGCAACTTTTAAAAACTAATAGCAGAAAAACTTTTCTGATCTTATGTAAAGGCCATAAAATTAATTGGCATATTAAGAAATTGGGGTTAACTGCAGATAAAATTTATCTTTGTGGTTTATATTTATTTCAATAAAACTTATTAAGTATCTACAAAACAGAGTATGGCAGAATTGTATACTTTTTTCTATTGTCTTAGCCTGAGGGCATAGAATACCAAATAACAGAGAATATGGTACCAAACTTTAATTCTGTTACAGCTCAGTCATTGAAGCACTTAAATGCATGTTGATGAATTTATTAATATTTATTAGGTGAAAATATTTCACTTAAGGCAATATATTAGAAGTATCAAAAGACGGCTGGGCACAGTGGCTCATGCCTGTAATCCTAGGACTTTGGGAGGCTGAAGCAGGTGGATCACCTGAGGCCAAGAGTTTGAGACCAGCCTGTCCAGCATGGAGAAACCCCATCTCTATTAAAAATATAAAAATTAGCTGAGTGTGGTGGTGCGTGCCTGTAATCCCAGGTACTCAGAAGGCTGAGGCAGTAGAATTGCTTGAACCCGGGAGGCAGAGGTTACGTGAGCTGATATTGCGCCGCTGCACTTCAGCCTGGGTGACAGAGCAAGACTCCATCTCAAAAAAAAAAAAGAAAAAGAAAATAGCATGCAACAGAAAAACCAAATACTACTTTTAAAATTACATGCTATTTTATTGATAAACTTCCAAGTCCCCTATAACTACTCTGTATTTGAATTGAAATTTCAAGATATAACTATTATTTACATATTTAAGGAGTCATTGGGTATTTAAGTAATAATTTCAGTTTAATTTTTCTAGGGTTTCTTTTTTTTTCTTTTTCTTTTTTTCTTTTTTTTTTTTTTGAGACAGGGTTTTGCTCTTGTTGCCCAGGCCGGAGTGCATTGGCATGATCTGGGCTCGCGGCAACCTCCACCTCCCAACTTCAAGTGATTCTCCTGTCTCAGCCTCCCAAGTAGCTGGGATTACAGGTGCCCGCCACCACGCCCAGCTAATTTTTGTATTTTTAGTAGAGACGGGGTTTCACCATGTTGGCTAGGATGGTCTGGATCTCCTAACCTCGCGATCCACCCGCCTTGGCCTCCTAAAGTGCTGGGATTACAGGCATGAGCCACCGCGCCTGGCCTAATTTTTCTAGGGTTTCTAACTTGAAATATTATACCCAACTGCTGATTTTATGGTCCAATTCCATCGTATACGAGGTATTTAATTGTAGGAAAGAAATGAGGGAAATAGGGTACGTCTCTTTCTGGGTGGACTGTTGAGCTTTCAGCCCTAGAAAGATGAAACCCCACCCAGGCCACATTGTTCAGCAGTGCTGTGGCCTGTGCCGACCCAATGGACCACCATCAGAGCGAGTTGGTGCTGGGAGTCTGAACTCACAGTATGAAGTTTGAACTTAGGTGCTGGCCGATGTTCTTGGAGGGTGTGGGGAGAAGCTCCAAAGAGCAGAGCCGACCAACGCAGGGACTCAGGTGACCCAATACAGGTGTAGCCACAAACTAGTCCTCCCAGTCGATGTGGATTGGGCCACCTGTTAGCGTCTGGCTCTGTAGACCGGCTGAGTCCTCTCCTCCTGCCCCACGACGCATACGCCGGTGGCAACCCTGGGCACAGCGGGAACGCTCGTCCAGCGCTCCACAGACAAGAACCCGGCAGTGCAGAAACACTTCCTGAAGAGACGATCACAATGGTTAATAAAAACAATAACTGCTGCCACTTGTGGGGCACTTACAAGGAGCCAGACACAATACAAAATGTTCCCAAACATTATCTCATGTAATCTTACAAAAGCACTCGCAAGTAGAGGTTATCATCCCCATTTTATAGATGAGGAAACAGGGAGGTTAAGGAACTTGCCCAAATGTAAACATTTAGTAAAAATGTGGCAAAGCTGGCATTTAAGTCACATGAGTGATTTAAAACCCCCCATTCATAACTTCTGCATGGAGCTGGAATAGCAGAGGCCTTTGTGAAGCAATATCTAATAACTTAAATGTCTTCCTTCCTCACATCAAGGTCTGGGGATAGCACTGGCTATCCCCTGTGCACTTGTGCTATCAAATGACCAGTGTTTTCTGGAAGCGCCTTTCTGTAGGTAACTGCCTAAGCTTCCTGCCTGGTTGAAGGTGATCAGGATCAGCCATCATTGTTTGCAGTTGTTCCGTAACCCTGGTACAGCTGGAAAGGACTTGCATACACTTACAAGTAGTGTGGAAAAGAATGTTGGCCTCTTTGACTTCCTTTTGTTTAAATGTTTCAACAACTACACTCTAACAACAAAAAAAACTTCCACCTTATCTCGCTACAACCTTTTCTATATAGCCTCTTATAACCTCTATCCATGTGTATATATATTTTTTAAATGTAATACATTTACTATGCCTGTATGTTGTCATGACAACAGTTTTTACGTCTGCTTTTCCCATATTTATCATTTTAATAACTCAATATTGCATGAAATTGATATACTGTGGCCGTTAGCCCTGTTTGTTTGGGGCTTTTTCTTTTGCCCCTTTATAACAATGCTCTACAAACACTTCCAACACACCTTGTCTGTTTTGGCTTAAAATTTTGTTGCTGTTGTTTTTAGAGACAGGTTCTCACTCTCTCACCCAGGCTGGAGTGTAGTGGCCCAATCATGGCTCAATGTAACATTGAACTCCTGGGCTCAAGCGATCTGCCTCAGCCTCCTGAGTAGCTAGGACTACAGGTGTATGCCATTATGCCCAGCTAATTTTAAAATTTTCTGTAGAGAAGGGGTCTTGCTGTGTTGCACAGGCTGGTCTCAAACTCCTGGCCTCAAATGATCCTTCTGCCTCTGTTTTATTTTTTTATTTTTGTTTTGTTTGTTTGTTTTTTTGAGACGGAGTTTCGCTCTTGTTACCCAGGCTGGAGTGCAATGCCGCGATCTCGGCTCACCGCAACCTCCACCTCCTGGGTTCAGGCAATTCTCCTGCCTCAGCCTCCTGAGTAGCTGGGATTACAAGCACGCACCACCATGCCCAGCTAATTTTTTGTATTTTTTTAATAGAGACGGGGTTTCACCATGTTGACCAGGATGGTCTCGATCTCTTGGCCTCGTGATCCACCTGCCTCAGCCTCTCAAAGTGCTGGGATTACAGGCGTGAGCCACTGCATCCGGCCTTTATTTTGTTTTTAAGAAGCTGTCAGAATTGGAATTTTTAGATAACAGAATAGGATGATTTTATGATTATATCACATATTATCAGACAATGTTCCAGAAAGTGTACCAATTTATACTGTCACTGTATACTTCTCCCTATAACCTTGTAAGTGTTGTATTTTGTAATTTTCATAAATTTAATATGTATAAAATGGTGTCTTATAATTGTTTTCATCAGCACTTAAGTACTATTTTCAGTGAACATTTCACTATTTGTCTTTTCTTTGAATTTCCTGTCTATATCCCTTGCCATTTGACCAATCACTGCACTGGCTTTTCAACCATACCTGCCCACAAAGATCTTAAATTATGATCCTATAGT